ACGTGTATTTTCTAACCTTCTTTGGGTTAAAATGATAAGCTGCTTAACTTACTTTACTGGATTTTCTTCGTCGCCACTGTTATGTCTCTGGTTTCCGAGTGGATTAAAAAGGCCTCTGATGTTTCTTAACAAGTTTATTAACAATATGTACAAGCGTTTTACAATCGAGTTACCACGCTGACTTCTCTATCTGTACGGTTGGTCAGACTGGCTCATGTCATGGCTGCCAACTTTTACACTTAAAAACTATTGACATACAAAATATAGACAAACTTAAAATCTATAACATAGCATATATTAAACGTTCTAAATGTAACATTTCGAAACGTGTAATGATCGTTTTCTTCACACAAAAATTAAACGTTTATTTATTAGTATTGTTAAACGTTATAATCTGCGACATTTTAAAGTTGATTGTACGTATTAAATATACGTAAAAACAAAATGGTGTTACGGTTTAAAAAAACGTTTAATTAACGTATGTGTGTTTACTGGGATGTGGCTTAAACTGCGTGTAGCCAAATTAAAACCAACAATTAAGACGTTTTCGAAAAAGCTGCTTACCTTATAAAGTTATGGAGTAAACTCCATAAATCCATAAACGTAGAGTATAATTTTGATTTAGGCTTTTTTACGGTTTCTGGTAGTGTTAAATTACTAATTTCATTTTAACTGTCATACATTTACACCGATTTTATTTAAAAAGTAAAAAAAATAAAGGAATTTACTCAAACCAAAACCTCAAACTGTCAAAATATTTAATTTTAATAAGTCAGATTTTCAAGTCACTCTTAAATATTGACGTATTAGTGAAATTTCTTACATTTTTTTGAAATTTGTCGATAAACTATGGTAAATAATAAATTGCACCAATGCATTATATTTATGGGGGGCGCCATGGGGCCGATACGGCCGAGCAAAAAGTTTTCTTTTTTCGGCAAACTTCAATTTAAATTTTGCTTGCGCAGAAATTGTTTATTTAATGTCCTAAACTCATATAAATTTGGTGTGGGTCCCATATCTAATAATTGAGATATCGGTATACCCAAAATCCACCAGCCGCGGTTGTAGGAGCTGGAGGCTCGTACGAGCCGAGCTGTGCATACCTGATTTTAAAGTAAGATTAATTGACCTATAGGAATTAAAAATTTAATTTTAAATATATAAAGACAAATTTTGTGTCGTTTAATTACTTTATATGTAAGGAATTTGTGCGAAGGGAAAGGTTATATGCAATTTATTTTTAATTTTATTTTGACAACTTTTAAAATTACCTTTAAACTTTAAAGTTCAAAAAGAGAAAACACGGTTTAATTGCAAATGCTTTATTAAAAAAGTTACATAATTTTGAAACTACACTGGCCACATAAAATCTACTATGTATAATGTAACTTCTATTGTAAAATTTAAAATATGAAAACCTAAAATATAAAATAAAGTTCTCTAAAAGTTATAATAGTGAATTTCTATTCGTTCAAAGCTCCATGATGAATATTAGAGGAACCACGGAGCGCTTAGCTTTACAGATAAATAACTGCTGATCCTATTTTCTGTAATGAGATAAGATAGTAGCAAAATGTTAATAGAAAATAATTGAACATAGTTACCATATTTATTGACAATATAATATGCATATTTACTAAAATTAAAATTTGCAAATAGTGTTGTTTTACTGCATGATATTATAATCCATACATTGCTGTGATTTTTGGAGCGAAGTTTATAAGTAAACAGAGTGAAAAAATATATACTGTTATTTTTCGCTGTCATATTAAAAAGACTACGGAACCCCAGTTCAAATTACCACATTTTTCTTTTGCTTTGGGATATTATTTATAGTAAATATTTAGAACAATAAGTGGAGGTACAAAAAATAAAATAAAAAATGATAATACATGGACTGCGTTAAAGAAACAATATATCTCTTTCATACCAAATAGCATAGCTCAAGTTTTGTTAAATTGTTATTGCACAATGGAACTTTATTATTTCACTATAGCCAATCGTTTTAATTTTACAAATTAATTTGATATTTTTATTGAATTTACGATTATATAATATGTAAAATGGTTGTTCATTTGTGTTTGTCATATTGTGTAATAGTTCTTCGGAGGGGGCTTTAAGCTCGCGGTCCGTTCCTACCCCTAACCCGCTGCAGCCATTCAGTTGGCTTCTGGGACTTATAGTATTAAATACATACAGGGTGAATCGGAAGGATCGCACTAAACTCTAGGACTGCATTCTACACACCAAAATAATAAAAAAACTAAACTGTTCTTATCCGATTCTTATTTGTTTTCAAGTTATAGCGAAATTAAAAAAAAAAAAAAAAAAATTATTATCTAATGTTCTTTGAAAAACTATGGAAACAGAGTCAAACCACGTCAAGTGGGACCAGAAAATTTCACGAAATTACCGATTTTGAAAATATTCACATTATTGTGTAGTAGGCATGACGCATATGTCACAGTAAAAAAATTTTTTTGAAAGTCGGTTATTTGTTAATGTTATTAAGGTTAATAGTTTTGTCAAACTTTAGAGAACGGTAAAATTTTACAAACTATTGTAGCAATGTTTAGACTATAGAATGATCATTTAATTAAGGTAATTTTTTTATATTAAATAATTTTGCATACATTTATTATAAACAATTGAAATTTTTTATGTGTTCTTCACGCTGAAAAAAAATTAAACTTGTGTCATAATATGCGGCAAACGTTTCTGTTTAATAAAATATACTCAAAAATTTGTCCTTCACCTGTCATTCCGGAGATATTAAATTTTTTGTCCCGCTGTGCGCTTGATCGGTACGCGGCGCGCTTCGCTGCTACAGTGGGGAAAATAAGTCAATATTCAAAAAATAAAATGCTCTAATATTAAAATTTTTTATTACATATAGTGAACAAAATATAAAATTTAACAATTTAACAGCCACATAATTTATATTCTTAACCTATAGGATTTTTTCTTAGACACCAAAGACACTTTCGTTAGTGACAATGTTATCATATTATCTTATCAATCACAATTTATAAGAAACATGTGTTTAAAAAATAAAAGTAAAATATCCTTCTTCGCGTGGTTATAATAAATTTTGGATATATTTTTTTAATCTATAAAAAGTAATCAATATCCTAAGAGTGGTTCACTGAAAAAAATAATTTGTTTAATCAACTAAAAAAAAGTTGCGCCAACAAATTTTATTTGTAGCTATAGCCTCAACTAAAATCTTTGTTACAACAACAAATTTTTTTTGTTGAGACATAATATGTTACTGTAACTAATATTTTTTGTTGACAAAACTATGGCGTCTTGTTTAAAGTAACTAATATTATTGATATCTCATACAATAATATTTTGTTGTTAAAACAGTTTACATTTGTTTTAGGTAATAATTTATTTGTTTCTATAACTTTTTGCATTTGTTTTCATTATAAATCTATTTGTTGGAAAAGCTATGGTAATGAGTAACTACAACATTGTTGCTTTGTTGTTATAACATTTGGTAGTTCTTTTAATAACCAAAAAATAATTTTTGTTAAAAGAACTTTAACAATATTAACCTATGCCTACACAATATTGTTAAAGCACCTCTTTCAGTATGTAATACTAATTAATAAAAAGAGTTGCATTAACAATATTGTGTAGGTATAGTTTAATATTGTTTGATTTTTTTTAACAAAAATTATTTTGGTACCTTTAAAAGTATTTTCTAATGAAGAAAATCCCCACTCGGTTAATATTTGGTTTACTTCTTCATCCATAACGCCCAATGCACAAAAATTAATTAACTCGAACCTGCTTCCTCTAGCATTTGCATAAAAAATTTTTGACAGTGACAAATTATTTTTTTATTATTCAATCACTATGACACCAAGACTTAACTTTAACCATGGCACCAAGTCGGTCAACTTTATAAAATAAATTTCAATGTCACATCATGTCAATTTTGGGCGAAAATTGACAACAAAAACATATTTGTTATGTTTACTAAGGATACCTATTAGCGGCGACGCATATTGTCAGTAGAGTAAACTAATTCTTTCCAACAAATTCATTTTTGTTGCAAATACTAATGTATTAAAGACTTTACTTGGGTTAACAAATTTTTTATTAGGACCAACAAAAACAATTTCAACAAAAAATTTATTGGTTGATAGAACATATTTGTTTTTTCAGTGTTGTTAATTAAAACAGCATGAAATGAATGAACATAATTATTATATAAGATATGAACATTGTTAATTTCATGCTAAATAGTAAAATTGATTATTATATTTATGATTTTTAAGTAGTAATTATATTCTTAAAACTAGATTCATCTTTAGAAATTTTTTTACATATAATCTGTTTAAGAGTCGTTGGTTGAAAATAATGATATTGCCGCGTTTTTTTATTGCTACTGCTTTTTTTATGCGGTTCTGGTATTTTTTTTTCATGCGCATCGTGGTCAACTTGAGAGCAAAAATCAAAATCTATTGTTTTAAAAGCATCTTTTGCCCAATCAAAAAGAGCTCGAGGATTACTTATGTGATTACAAGTAACGCGCTGCATACTTGCTTTATGTGCCAGTCTTTTTACAGTGCCCCCGACCCCGTCGCACGCTCCCTTACCGTGGGATGTTGCGAAAAAATTCCACTCGGCTTCAATTCCGAAGTCATTTTTGTGATAAAATAAATTCAAAAAGTTGAATTTATTTTTATATTGCGATCCAGCGCCATCCGAAAAATAAAATATTTATTTTAAATTTCTACAACCAAATTTGTTTTTTTAAATAATTAACAAGTCTTGTGTTAAATAAGTGAACAGATTGAGCATCATGGGTTAATTTTTCCGAAATAATGACAAAACTTAAGTGATGCTCTTTGCCATTTTCGTGGTAATAAATTACATATTGATGAATTGTTGCTTGAGTGTTTGACCAATGATGAGACTGGATTGCATCCTGGATTTGAAATGTGTAGTTTTCTGCAAAATCCAAGGAAACCACAAATTCAAATTCAAATTACAGACTGCACTTTTCTTTTCAACGAAATAGGCTCCTTGTGTTTTAAAACTAAAGACAAGTCGTTACCAAGCGCCTCTAAAAACTTTTCTGTTTTTTCTGATATCTGCACAATATCGCACCTGAAAAACACCCTAATATTTATAAATAATAAATAAACATTAATATTGATTATTGTTACCGGTCAGTGTTGATCCATTGACTAAATGTCACTTGAGTGACGTTATTTTCAGTCAATATTTCCTCCACTTTCTTCATGATAGCTGCTGTGCCAGGACATTCTTCGCAATCATATAAAAAACAACCCGGCTTTGGAAGTTCGCACACGGATTGCTTAATAAAGTCGCCCATTGATGTATTAAAAGTAATCTTATATTTTTGTAGTTCTCGCTGGATTCCATGTATTTTTAAGGATACATTTTGATGCATTTTGCAAACACAAATATTATGCGTGCCAGTTTGGCCTGCCATAATGCATTCAAGTTTGTATTCGATCTTAAATTGTTCGTGTAAATCATTTAAATTAAATAGTAACAACCTTTTCTGGGCCTTTTTTTTGACTCCATTTTCAACAACAGTTTTGCAGTCTTTAATTCCTGGTAATATTCTGCTAGAAAAATCTGAGCGATAAAAATTTCGTACTGTTTCAACAGTAGAGTACAGAATCTTTTTCCCACGTTTGTTTTCAGGAATAGATGCAAATCCACTTTTTTCTGCAAGTTTTTAGACTTTATTGCCATTCTTTTTGAAATAGAAAATGTATTACGCATTTCTTTTACTGTCCAATTATTTGGAATCGTAGTCAAAATTTTAATTTTTTCTTGAACATTTGGTTTTTGGCTTTTTAGCTCGAATATTCTCAACAAAAGCTGAATCTGAAATATTTTTTGTTTTATGTCCACTTTCTTGGGCGTTTTTTTCTTTCTGATTTCTATTAATAATTTCTGAAATTATATCTCGAATATTTTTATGGGATAGTTTTGAAAAACGTGTTTTTTTAATAGGGGGTTCATCAAGTTCTTGTAAAATGTTATTCACTTTTTCCAATGTCAGAATATCCAACGTCATTATTTTCAAAATTTGGATCACTCTAAAAATCTTCTTCGGAAAGTTATCCGAAAACTCACTTTCTATTATTTGATCAGTGCTGTAACTAAAAAACAATTTAAAAATGTTTTAGCTTCTTCTGTTTAGAAATGAATGTGTAATATTTCCACTTCTAATTAACATTAACATTACCATTAACATTAACATTAACACTATTGTGACAGAGGCATTAAACACAGTAAAACAAAATAGAAGTTATGTCATCTAATATTAGTTTGCTTTTTTACAATAAAATTAATTAATATTTTAATCATTTTACTCAATCAGATTTTCATTTAAAATTCACTTACTATTATCTTAAAATATCAAATATCGAGAAAGTTCTTATTTATTTGTTTATGACTTTTTCTCGAAATGAAGTTAAGTAATTAATTAAATAATTGATATAATTATAATAACTATTATGCAACAGGGTTACAAAATCATGAGTAAACTTACCTTGTACTCGGCTGATCATTTGCTTCATTTGCAGTAATATCCACATTACTACAGTAGGTACATTGTGTCACATGTTTTGCAAATGTGATAACCAATGTATTTTTTAAATTTTATATTTCACTTTTCAGTTACTTTGAATAACTTATGACGAATACAATTGTGACCTTTTTTTTTCAAAGGATTACAACACTTATTCGGCCGAACCATTTTTATAATAATATCAAAACTTTACATTGATCACAAAGCGAATATACAAGGTGTCCCTAAACTTAGTGGCATAAATTTAGAAGCAGATTAAGCAAGTCAAAATAAGACGAAAATCTAAATAAATATTTTTCCTAATTACGTATGTTTAAAAGATACAGGGTGATAAAGTGTTACTTATGATATCAGTTTTTTAATATAACTTCTACTATGGTAGACTTGGAAAGGTGATATTTTGCGAACAGTCACTTACTACCAAAACACATATTCACATATAATTACAATTGTTTGAGTGAACACAGTGTCGTAGAAACGGGGGTTGCTTTAAGCTAATAAGTCAATAGTCCCATACAAACTTTGAGGTTAGGTTTTTGTAACATTTGATGCAATTTTTCGATTAAACAGTTTGGCTACCATTAAAAAGGTGTACCTCTCAAACTTCGATAAAATAAACCGTTTCAGAGATATTCGAGATTACAATAATTGTTATATCGCATTATTTAAAACGATTAAAATGTATATGATAACTAATTTTATTTTTTAATTGAAAAACTAAAAAGGGCATTCCATGAGCCTTTTTTTGCCCTGACCGTCACATTAAAAAAATGTAGTTTTTTCAATTAAAAAATTTGTTAACCTATACCTTTTAGTCCTTTAATGCGATATAACAATTATTGTAATCTCGAATATCTCGGAAACGGTTAATTTTATCGCAGTTTGAGAGGTACACCTTTTTAGCCGAATTGAGTAATCGAAAAATTGCATCAAATGGTATAAAAACCCAACCTCAACGTTTGTATGGGACAATAAGTTTCACTCGAACAATTGTAATTATGTGTGAATATGTGTTTTGCTAGTAAGTGACTGTTCGCAAAATATCACCTTTCCAAGTCTACCGTAGTAGAAGTTATATAAAAAAAAATTATCACCCTGTATCTTTTAAACATACGTAATTAGGAAAAATATTTATTTAGATTTTCGTCTTATTTTGACTTGCTTAATCTGCCCCTAAATTTATGCCACTAAGTTTAGGGACACCTTGTATATAAAGTTAGAACCATTAAAAGAACGTCAATTAAACTGTCAGAGTCTGCCTATTTGTCAAGCAGATCCATAGATATCTAGGATCAGATCAAATTAAGGTGCCAGCGCAGCGTCCCGCGTGCCTAAGCGCACAGCGAAACAAAAAATTGAATATCTCCGAAATGACACACAAAGGACAAACTTTTAAGTACATCTTATTAAACAGGAATGTTTGCAGTATATTTTGACACAAGTTTTTTTTTTTTTCAGCGTGATAACACATAACAAATTTCAATTGTTTATAATAAATGTATGCAAAATTATTTTATTTAAACAAATTTACCTTAATAAAATGATCATTCTATAGTCTAAACATTGCTACAATAGTGTGTAAAATTTAATTCAATTATACAGAGTGGTCCCATAGATTTTATTTTTTTAATTTTACCGTTCTCTAAAGTTTGACAAAATTATTAATTTTAATAACATTAACAAAAAACCGACTTTCAAAAAACATTTTTTACTGTGACATATGCGTCATGCCTACTACACAATAATGTGAATATTTTCAAAATCGGTGATTTCGTGAAATTTTCTGGTCCCACTTGACGTGGTTTGACTCAACAAAGTTTTTTTTCCATAGTTATACATATTGTTTACATTTAAAAGGCCTAACTGTCAGCTTCAGTGGTATTTTTGTAATTTTCCAGTTTAAATTTTTTTAAAATACCATAAGTTTATTCAAATTTAGAGTATGCCAATATGGTTTTTGTTTATGGCTTTTGTAATGGCAATGCCACAGCTGCTGTAGAAGAATATCGGCGACGTTTTCCACGTGAAAGGGCTCCTGACAAAAACGTGTTTATTCGAGTTTTTAACAAACTTTGCGAGACTGGAACTCTTCCAAGTGCTAAAATAACATCGACAACCTTTAGAAGAAGTGAAAAATATTTTGGATCTAGTGGAAGAAGATGCAACGACCAGCACCAGAAGAATTGCTACTCAATTGAACATTTCACAAAAACGGGTAATACACCAGTGGCGGCCCGTGCTAAAAATGATTGCCTGTTCTGCAAAAAAAGTGAAGTAAAAGTAAAGTAAAATATCAGTTTAAGTAGAAAAGCTTTATTTAATTTTTTTTAAACTGTAATACAATGCGCCTTTCCTTCTTTGCTGCAAACTTATCAATTACTTTTTCGTTAAAGTTTTGTATTGATGCGATACATTTTTTTTCAATGGATAACATCGAAAGAGCCGTCAATCGATCTTTACACATTGAATTTCTTAAAAACGTTTTGATCCGCTTTAATGTCGAAAAACTACGTTCCGCTTCAGCAGTAGTCATTGGAGTTGTCACAAGAATTTGTAATAGCTTCTTAGTTTCCCCCATTGTTTCTTCCAGGTTATTTGAAATTATAATTTTAAGTAATGGTACTGCACCACGTAAATCTCTACATTCACAATTGGAATATATCACAGAAAGTTCCGTTTTGAGTCGAATTTTATTTAAAACTTTATATGAAGTACAAGTTAAGTCTAACTCTTGGTCCGGAAATTTGTTATGATATTCCACAAATTTTTCCGAAATCAAAAGTGATGCGGCTACCAAGTGGCCTGTGAAGGCAAAACGTTCCTTTTCGTTGCTTATAATTACGTCACATACCTCTAAACAAGCAATGCGATGATCTGATTTGTTTTCATTAGGGCGTTTCCTTTTTGCGACGGTTGGAGCAATTTCAAAATTCGAAGCTTCTTCTACAATGGAGTCTATTTTATTTCGGATAACATTAATATTTTGTTCAAACGTTGCTGTGACTGTTTGAGCTGCTGTCGGATCCATTATTCTTTTTTGAAGTTGATTAAATAAAATATCCACATGTGGCATAATATGATGAAAGAACGTTAACCAAAAACAAAAATTTGGGTCTTGTAACATACGTCGAATTCCTGAAGCTTGCTTATAAGTCAATACGTTAGCCTCTTCTTCAAGTTGTTCCATGCATTCAATGATTGAGTCTCTATATTCATGCACAACATTAACTGAACGAATTTGGAAATTCCAGCGCGTAGGAACAGAACGCGGCATTTTTCTTCCCACAATTTGATCTAGCACTGCTACACGTTGAGGTGAGTGGCTAAAAAATCCAGGAATGTCGTAAAGATTTTATTCTGACAAAAATATTTATATATAAATAATAACACTGTAAAAAGAAATAATTTATGTTTTACAAAGTACCTATAAACTTTACACTTTAAAGGGAGTAAATTACATAGGTACCTATTATTCGATTTCCAAAAATAAAAGGCAGTAAGTCACTTATTCTAGGCATTATAATTAATTGTAATCCAAAATCACAATTAAATGACATTTTAGTAAGTCTTGCCACATATTATTAGTCGCTAAATAATTATTATGAAATAATAATAATAATAATGGTAATAAATTATAATTAATTAATTCAGTTTAGAAATACAGTCTTCCCTGTTTTTATTTTTTACCCTTTAATGCCTTTTGCTTAAACACAATTGTGTTAACAGTCTGGCTATTGAACAATGTTATTTATCGTACTGGAGAAACAACAGAAATACTCGAATACGTTACTGGTAGTCCAGAAAACAACCAATTGCATATGCTGATGTGTATACGATTATTATTATATTAATAATTTGGTTATTTATGAAATTAAACTTCATTATTAAATTTATAATTAATTGGCCCTTTTTTGTCAGGCGTTAACTACACATTTACCCATAGGAATGCTTAAAAAATAACAAAATCCAGATATTTGTCGTACTAACCATTTTCTGTTGTAGTTATATGATTAATAAATTAATTATTGATTTTTGAGAAAAAAAATATGTCCCAAAAATATTATTATTATTATTCCTTTGTTTGTATCTGCAACAGATTTTAGAAAAATTGATTTCTTGGCATTAAAAATTATTAATTTTTTTAGAAAATTGTCATATTTTGCATAATATAATATAAAAAGAATTTTAATTTCACGCGCTAGATTTGATTTAGGCGTTCAACTACCTATTCGGTTTAAAACCCTGTATAGCATACCGCTCACCGTCGCGACGGCGCGATCAGATCAAGACAGAGTAAGGACGTCGACACGGTTTCAAATATCCGAGCACTGATCTGCACTAATTGCAGCTCATTTCCACCGTAAATTGTGTAACAACGAACCTAACCGATGACAGGCGGGGGCTAACGAAAGCTCGAGGTCGGCTTTAGCAGAACAAGGATGTTGAGCAGCTATGTAATGAACATTACTAGACGTGCTTTGCTTTTATATTCCTGTTGGCTAACTGGATTTGCAAAACGCGCAGCAGGCTCTTTAAAAATCTAACCATAAACTTTTTATTATTTGCTGATTTGATATTATTTAATTATAATAATCAATTAAATCATTATTAATGATAATAGCATTAGAAATTAATATTTTACCTTTTATTTTTACTTTTATTTTTGGTGGTTCTGCAGCTCTGCAGCACTTAAGGACAAACCGCCCCTGTATTAAATACACACACTTCACGAGCAAGGCTTATACCCATACCATTTACAAAGAGTACAGTTTCTACACCCGGAATATTATGCTAAACGTGTGGAATTTTGTCGGTGGGTAACTAACAATCGTAGAGTTGTATCGCGTATACTTTTTACTGATGAAGCAACATTTACCCGTGAAGGCATTAATAATACGCACAACTCTCACGTATGGTCTGACGAAAATCCCCATGCTATAGTCGAAACCAATTTTCAGCACAGGTTTTCAGTAAATATGTGGTGTGCTATGATTGCTGAGTATTTAATTGGCCCTTTTATCATGGAGAATCGCCTCACACGGGAACACTACCTTAATTTTTTAATAAATGAGTTGTCAGGACTACTAGAGAATGTCCCTCCAAACGTAAGAAGACGAATGTACTATCAGCATGATGGAGCCCTTGCACATTTCGCTCGTGAGGTCAAGCAACACTTGGATGAAATGTTTCCAGAGCGTTGGATTGGTCGCGAAGGTCCAATTAGTTGGCCTCCAAGAAGTCCAGATCTAACACCACTAGATTTTTGTTTATGGGGTTGGTTTAAAACAGAAGTTTACAAAGTTAAAGTGAATAATCGAGAGGCACTAATTCAACGAATAATTAATACTGGCGCAGTTCTTAAAGAAAAACAAGAGTTAATAGGACGAGAAACAGGCGCTGTTCGCAGACCTAGCAGAGCATGTTTAGAACTTAATGGGGGTATTTTTGAACACCTTATAAAAAGTCATAATTATTTTAAACAAAATTTAATGTTACCGTTTCATTTTATTTATTTTTTAATTACGCTATAACTTCAAAACATATGAGAATCGAATAAGAACATTTGTGTTTTTTTAATTATTTTAAAGTGTATAATGCAGTCCTAGAGTTCGATGCGATCCTTCTGATTCACCCTGTATATACAGGGTGTCCCAGAATTCGCGCCACAGAGAAAAAGGGGGCGTGCCGACAGAAATGGAGATGCCAAATTTAAAAATAAAAAATTTCTAGGTAATAGTGTAAGCGAATTAAAGCAAAAAAGTGGCAGCCAATACCGAGAGCTCTTGCCTAGATTAAACGTAGGGGATTTAAAAATTGCTAGGAGACGATAGAACATTGTTGTCTTAAAACTTTTAAAACTCTTTTGGCCGACTTGTAGTAAATAAGTTGTCAAAAGCTGTCAAAAATGACTGATACCTCAGAACGACAATGTTTTAAAGTAAAAAATCAAACAAGTTGTAATTTTTTAGGCTTTTTTAGTTAAAATTTTAGAAAAAGTCATAAGTTACAAAAACAAATAAACAAACTTTTAAAAAATTACAAAAACTATAAATTTCCGTAAAAGTAAACAAACAACATTATGTAAAACTAAATTAAATATTATGAAAATGTGTTAACAACTAAATAAAAAAAATATGCTAATCTGTTCACAATAAGTGCTCAAAGTGTGCACCATTCATTTGTAAACAAATCCGCGCTCTTCTTAAAAGGCTGGATTTTGACTCCATGACCATTTCAGGAGTAACCGTCGCAAAAGCGTCTTGGATGCGGTTCCTAAGCTGATCCTCTGTTTCGATGGGTACACTATAAATAAAGTTTTTAAGGTGTCCCCAAAGAAAAAAATCCAAGGGATTTAAATCGGGTGAACGAGCAGGCCAATTTTGTGGCCCACCTCGTCCTATCCATCGGCCAGGATACTGCCCGTCCAAGATTCGCCGAACGTCGCGACTAAAATGTGGTGGTGCCCCATCGTGCTGCAACCATTCATTTACTCGATATACCAGGCACGTCGCCTAAATTGTTTTCTAAGAAGTCTGCATAAATTTGGCCTGTTAACCGTGCAGGAAATTCAAAAGGTCCAACCTAGAGGAAAATGGCCAAATTAGAATAAAAAAGAAAACCTAAATAGTTTACATACAACGCGATCTCCTATTATAGCACTCCAAAAATTAATAGAAAATCGATGTTGGAACCCCCCTTGGAATATAGCATGCGGATTTTCATTTGCCCATACATGTAAATTATGGGCATTGAAGCATCCTTGTCTGGCAAAAATTGACTCATCCGAAAACATAATGTTAGAAACAAAATTTGGCTGGAGATTTTCTTGCTCCAGCAACCACAGGCAGAATTCGACTCTAGCGGGATAATCTTCCGGCTGAAGGTGCTGCACTCGGGTAAAATGAAAAGGGTGTTGCCGATCGTTCTTCATAACCCGCTGAACAGTGGAGCGGGAATATCCAGTTCTCGAGCAACTTCCCTTATGCTCTTCCTACTATTTTCCTCAAACGCATTCAAAACAGCTTCTTCATTTTCCACTGTTCTAATACGTTTGGGAGCACCTCCAATCCCCTTACGAAGCGGAACAACTTGACCGGTCTCTCGGGTTTTTTTTTATAATAACTTAATTTATAAAAGTGTTATAACCAAATATAATATTAATGACAGAAGTAAAGATTGATTGATTGGATTTCAGTGGACCAAATATTTTACATATTTTTTATTATCAACAATGCAACCTAAGTATCCTAGCAATTTAAAGAATTCCCTGTGGTCATCTATTGGGATTGTCTATCGTTTTTTATTCTTATCTCCCTTATCCTTTGCGTTGGACAATTTGAATTTTTAAATATATGTTTCAAATTACTTTCGGTACGTTCCCTTTTTCTCTGTGGCGCGAGTTCTGGGACACCCTGTATATATATATATATATATATATATATATATTAGGGTGTCCCTTATTTTTTTTTTTCACGCATACCCCCTAATTATATTTATTACGTGTTTATATACTCCCAAAAAAAATTTTAGCTCATTCTATAAACGGGAACCCGTGCCGACTTGCATCTAAACCCTCCGTTAGCCAACGTTAGGCGCGCGCGGTATTTTGTAACACGAAACACTTTAAAAAGAAGATATACTTCCTGACTGTATTTTTCTAATGATTTCATTAAATATGATTACTTATTAATATTATTGCTTTTGTTTCTATCATTTGTTTCACTAATTTAGTTGATTTTATCCCTTAAATATATTAATATACTAATTAGTATTGCTAAAATATACTGTTATAAGAAATTTCAGCTTTTTATAAGCATTTCTTTTCTTGATGTCCTCCCAAAAATATTTCAGACAGTTCAATAAGTTTTCGGTAGTCATCTCCCACAATAGACTCTTTTAGTTATTTAGAGTAAAACCCATTAAGTTTATCAATTTCAGAGTTTACGGCCTATTCAATAGACCCTTCCCTGTAACTAGCTACTCCCTGTGAAAATATACATTTTTATCAAAGTATACACATGAATAAAACTATATTTTAACATTTGTCAATAATTTATAATATAAGGGTCACATAATAACAAACACAAAATGACTTACGATCGAAGACCTCGCGACCAACCGTGTTACAAAATACCGCGCGCCTGACGTTGGCTAACGGAGGGTTCAGATGCAAGTCGGCACGGGTTCCCGTTTATAGAATGAGCTAAAATTTTTTTTGGGAGTATATAAACACGTAATAAATATAATTAGGGGGTATGCGTGAAAAAAAAAAATAAGGGACACCCTAATATATATATATATTAGGGTGGTCCTTAATAAGGTTATTTTCAAATTTCTTTGCCCCCAGGGGCTTAAATGCTTCCAAATTAATAAAAAAAATTCCCTGAAAATTTGAGCTCTTAATATTAACTCTTAGATAGTGCGCATTCCAATCTAAGTTTCCTATGGAAATAACATAGGAAAAATTACTTTTGTTGTTTATAATTTTATAACTTGGGAACGAATGAATTAAAAATTATAAATTATACATATTTTTATAGAGAATTTAACGCTCTACAAAAAAGGTCTCTTATAATTTTTCCATTAGTCTATTTGTTTAAAAGTTATTCAACGTCAAAGTTTAATTTTGATATTATTATTAATATTATCAAGGCTTTTTTATGAGGCGCCGTTTGTGTCAAAATTAAAAGTGCTAAATAAACTTATTTTGTTTTATAAATAATTAATTATATGCTCTACCAAATAATTTGTTTATAAAATTATTTTTTTTATTAATTTTTTTTTTTGTAAAATTTTTTATAAAATAATTTTTTATAAAATAATTTTTTATAAAATAATTTTTTTATAATTTTTTTTTGTAAAAAATTTTATAAAATAATTTTTTTATAAAACAATTTTCAATTCGAATTAAAAATTATTTAATAAAAGACGACGGGCGCATTTATAAATTAATTTTTACTGCAGCCATCTCTATTTGTTTGTAGACACTCGAGTAAACCCGAGTAAACCCGAACACCCCTCCCCAGATACAATTTTATGACGGACTGCGTCAAACAAAAGCCCATGGGCTTTTGTTTGACGCAATTTGGGGAAACGATTGAAAATAATAATTTATTATTTTTATTCATTAATTCATTAATTTTTTTATCTACATTTATTTTGATTTTTAGTTTTTAACAAGAATTCTTTATGTTTAAACGGTTTTTATAAGAAAGCACTTGTTAAAAACTAAAATAAATAAATAAAATAATTCTCTTGAAAACAAATTAAAATAAATAAATCAATTCTCTTAAAACAAAACTAAAAATCAAAAAAAAATAATTTTATAAAAAAATAATTTAAAAAAAAATTATTTTATAAAAAAATAATTTTATAAAAAAATTATTTTTTAAAAAAATTATTTTTTTTGAAATTTTTTAGAAAAAAATTTTTTTTTAAATAATTCTATATTAAAATAATTTTATAAAAAAATTATTTTTTAAAATTTTTTGGAAAAACAAAATTTTTTTAAAAATTATTTTATAAAAAAATAATTTTATAAAAAAATTATTTAGTAAAGCATATAATTAATTATTTATAAAACAAAATAAGTTTATTTAGCACTTTTAATTTTGACACAAACGGCGCCTCATAAAAAAGCCTTGATAATATTAATAATAATATGAAAATTAAACTTTGGCGTTGAATAACTTTTAAACCAATAGACTAATGGAAAAATTATAGGAGACCTTTTTTGTAGAGCGTTAAATTCTCTATAAAAATATGTATGATTTATAATTTTTAATTCATTCGTTCCGAAGATTTAAAATTATAAACAACAAAAGTAATTTTTCCTATGTTATTTCCATAGGAAACTTAGATTGGAATGCGCACTATCTTAGAGTTAATATTAAGAGCTCAAATTTTCAGGGAATTTTTTTTTATCAATTTGGAAGCATTTGAGCCCCTGGGAGCAAAGAAATTTGAAAATAACCTTATTAAGGACCACCCTAATATATATATATATATATATATATATATATCGTCGGTCTCCTTACGTAGTGGCGTAACTAGCTTTTCACAAATTTTCCAATAGACGCAAAAAACGAAAATGGAGCACAATTATATCGGTGTCCAATTGTTACCACTGAAGGTGGCCCAAATTGTTTTTTTTATCAAAATGTTCAACTATTCCGGCTTCTTTTAAGCATAACATTTTTATTATTATCTGATTAGCTTGCAAGTAAAAAACATGTTTATACAGATACGTCAATTTGTAAAAATATATTTTTTTTATGTTTACACTTACGCCTATAAGATCGTGTAGGGAAAAAGTGATATAGATTCATAATATTATACTTTTAAACCAGTTTATTGTGATAAATAATGAAATTAGCAAAAATGTTTTACAACGGATAATAAAAAAAAGAAAAAAATATTCAATCTTAAAAAAAATGCAAACAGTTTAAAACTGATTTTTTTTTGGAACAAGGAAAAACAGCACTATTCTTTTTCGTCTTCTTCGTGCGGCAAAGAGTAAAAGAGGTTTTGAAGTTCGGGTGTGCGTATTACCGCTGTTTTGTTTTTGCCAGATGGTTTACAAAGAGCAGTTAAATCTTCATATTTCTTTCTGGAAATTTTAATTTGTTCTTTATTCAAATTATCAATAATTAGATGTCTTATTCCACCACGTTGTTTAAGCACAATTTTATCATAACTTTCTTCAGCGTGGCTATATTTAAAGAAAATGCTCATCGGTTCTTCTTTATTGACACTAATCTCCATAATCTCGTTCCATTTTAAAGATCTGTTTTTCTCGCTTTGTCTTACAGACAATAGTTTTAGATTTTTCGAAAATGTTTTGAAATCAAGAAAATCTCCAAAACTCATTGGAATAACAGTGTACGGCTTAGGTTGTGTTCTTGCACCTCGAATGACTGGGTATAGTTGTGATGGTACAAAGAGGTCACCAGAATGTGCAAGCGCGTAACCAATAGCACTGTGGGCGCTATCACCTTCGTTTTGTACGTGATTGGTTTCGAAAAATTTTAAACTAATATCTTTAATTGTGTTGTATTTTGCCAACGAATACAGCAATATGGATGCTACAACCGAATTTTTGTTCTGGCCGTAACACCCATCACAGAAGAGTTCTATGGTATGTACTCCTTTTCCGACGTATTGGCCAATTGCTTTGAATAAACAAGTTGCAATTTCAGTCGAGCCACGTTTCCCGTTTGTTTCGTCCCAGACAAAGCAGTAACATTCTCTGGTGGCTACATTGTAAAAAGTGAAATTAAAAACTGACATCCTTGACTTATAGAATATTGCAGACTCCTTTGAAATAGGTAAGTAAATCACCTGTTGAAGATCAAAAACTGCACAAAGGATATCTGAATTAGTCTTTGCCTTTTCTTTACTTTCACTTTTTTTCTGTCTCACTAGTTGTTTCTCTAAAATGTGTTTCTCGTATTTATCTTTTAAATCTTCTTTAATAGAAACGCCTCCCTCTCTGAAGGATAAGCAAAGTGAGCACTGATCTTTCTTTGGCCTTAAAAACGACAGATTCTTCGCCTTGAAAATTCTTCGATAAGTAGTGAAACTTGGAATATTTGTGTTTTTTTGGATTCTTGTTCTTCTACAAACATTTTATCAATTTTTTTTAATGATAGATCTGGATGAAGATACCTCCTACTCGTGCTTGATCTGCAGAAATGGGACTACACGCGAGGGTATCGGTCGATGTGGGCCTCGATTTCTTTTCTATTTTCTCTTTTCTTGTTTTTAATTGCAACACTTCTCTGCCTGCCACCTCTCATTTTCTTTTCTATTGTACCTGTTGCAGTAATTTTTGAGAATGCTGCACGGAATGCTCGTTCGGGAATACTCAGTGTATTAAAGAAAAATTTTTTGCACACCATGATTTGGTTGTTATTTGCTGTTAAAACGTATAATCTGGAATTTTTTCTACGTGAGTCACTGTTGATAGTAGTTGATCTTTTTTTAGGAAGAACTTTAACGTGTCGGACTAAAAATTCTCTTTGCTTTGCTAGGTCCCCTAAACCCGTGAAAGCATTAAAAATATCCTGCCTGATCTCATCAGATATCTCAATACATTGTTTTCCCATTTTTTTACATTTTTGACCGTCACAACGTTCTTTTATTTGTCTGGCTGGGATTTTCTCTTGACCTGAGTTCCGCAAAAGTTTAGCTTCTTTGGATTTATTAATTCTTTTTTTCTTAGCAATCATTCTCTCTTCTGAAGCGCCCTCAACTAAATAGCCTTCTGGATGCTCAACAATTTTCATTTTTTCTTTTTTCTGTTGACTGATTTGGCAACTGACTTGTAAAGGAGAAGCAGCTTTTTTGTCCGAAGCTTTTCTACAACGCTTGGGCCCAGCCTTTTCAGTATTGTACACAATATTTATGCCATGGTACTTACAATTTTTCACATCCTCATTAAAATGTCCAAAACATAGTAGAAAATCACATTTATGGCACGCCGCAAAAACTTTTCCTTTACAAGTTTTGACATGACATTGTCCAAAAGGAGGATCAGCATCAGAATCGTAATCATCTGATGGGGAAGCATAGTCATCAATAAAGCTATTTTCATTATCCGAGTCAACCTGTAACAAAAAAAGAAAACCGATTATAGGCATGTATTGTAGCTTGAGTAAAAAGAGCAAAAAAATTTCTAAAAAGTACCTATTTGCTAAAGCGGCCTTCGCACAAAATTACAAACATGCTACAAAAAAGAAAGGTATGCACCTACTCACATTAAGTATTTTATTATCTCCACCGACATTAATAGACGGCAAAACTTTTGGTTCTAGAACTACCATTTCCTCTGGTTTTGCTTGAGAAATGCATAAATCATTTTAAGTTGTAACTTCACCTGGTTCAGCCTGTAAAAAAAAACATTTTTCTATTAGTGGCTGCGCTTTGGAGTTAAGTTGGTACAGGGTGTCCCTGTACCAACTTATAGAAGCACTAACATAATATCATTCAATTCATACTTACATGTACTAATTCGTTTTTATTTTTTGCCTGTTCATTTTCACTAGATGATTTCAATAATTTTCTCAACGGAATGTCGTCTTCCGAATCGCTGTCAACTATCTTTTCCATGATACCATTTTCTATTATATTTCATGCGAACCTTATTTCCCACTTTAAAGCGCTTATATTTATCGGTTTTAAGTTCATTTGAAGACACGACGTTTCTCGAACCATCTTCCCACAACACTAGCACATCCATGTTTTATTAAAAATAGTTTTTTTTTCAATTTATCGGAAGTTAATTTACGCACATGAGCTCTGGTCACAACGGAATAACAAAGACTATCATACCCTGGGAACTCCCTTTAGTTCTGTTCAACGTCACCGAGCGCTACGATCGCCATTCGACCGCCACCTACCATTCAAAGTTTGAATCATAGATAACAAAGCCTTTTGGTTTTTGGCATAGATAACAAAGCCTGGTTTTTGATTAAAATTTGACACGGTTTTTCTATGGCGGTTAAGTATATTTACTTAGTAAATTTTATTAATTAATTTATAACAAAGATAACAAAGCCTGGTTTTTGATTAGGATTTGACACGGTTTTTTTCAACGGCGGTTAAGTATATTTACTTAGTAAATTTTACTAATTAATTGATTGCAAGATGGGTCGTGCTTGTGTTGTGCGAGGATGTGGAAATAGACAAGGCGAGGGGACTTTTCACCGTCTGCCCAAGAACCATGAGGTATGTTTTTATGTTATAGTAGTTTATAAACAAATGTTTATTATATAATATATATTATTATTATATAATAAATATTTATTACAAAGTAGCTTAAGTAATTCTTATAAATTATTAAGTAAGTTGGGGGCTTAAGTATAAGTATTAGGGTGGGTTAAAAAATAATGTAATTTTTTTTATTGTATATTCATTAATATTATGAATAAAAAAATAATAATAAGATTTCGTATTTTTATTACCTTAAACTAAAATATTATGTAATGTCATTGACATTTATTAAAATTTATTCAAAAAAGCGCTATGTTCCCGCTTCTCCGCTTTTAGTTCAGTTCAACGTCACCGTGGCGTCCAAAGTTGCCGATCTAAAAGGCTTTGTTATCTATGAAAGACTATTTCCCTCGTCTTAATTTCCACCAATCACAAACGCGCAATTTTGAATTACAAATGGTTTCTAGGTGAAAATATTGTGTGACAGCACCTGTCAGCAGTTTTTTCGGTCATCTATGGTTTAAGCTTAATTTTCATGTATCCGTTTGTCCGTCATCCGTATGTCAGTTTTTTAATAAAATCGTCCGGCAAGAAATGTTCTAATTTTCATGCATCCGTTATTTAATGACGTTTAACGGATTAATTTTGCGACAAATAGAAATTAAGTGTCAGTATATTTACTTTACTAAATTTACCTAATGCTTAATTGTCATAGTTACAATTATGTCAACAATTGTGACTTTAACTATTATCTGTCTAATAAATTAAAAGGTAGGCGAAAATGTATAGTTTTGAAGAAGATGGGCCTTTTAGTTCTGGTTTTAATAACTCTAGTGAAGAAGCAGAGGCTTCCGAACATACTGCCTAAACATGTACAGTTGAGGAACTATAGTATACTAATCTCGTGTGTTCAAGCGAGGCCCCCTTTATGGGATTCGCGGCTGCCCTTAAAAGAACGCTCTAAACCAATTAGGGACCAAATGTGGCAGGAAATATATAGGGAATTTGGATAAAATGCAGGTTTTTCTGTGGAATTCTTGTCAAAAAAATGGCGAACTTTGTGAGATACGTTTGTGCGTATAAAAGGGGAATACACTCCAAGTGGCGCAGCTGCATCCAAAAAAAGAAAGTGGGAGTATTTTGAGTATATGACTTTCCTTAAGGATACTATAAAATATCAGGCAACATTATCTAACGTCATTTTATCCCCAAATACCCTTGGAACTGAAAGCCCGTCAATAACTTCCAGTCCAATTACTTCTCCAAATGATTTGCCAAATCAACAAGGACGTAAGGGCAAAAATCTTACAAAGGACAAAGAGAGGAAAAATGTTGAGCATGCTATTTTAGATGCGTTAAACAAAGTAAATGCTCCAATAGAAGTAAAAAACCCAAGCCCTCACTCTAAAATTAATCCAATTTGTGACAGGATTTCACAATTATTAGAGCAAATGCCGCAAGGCCCTAGGACCAGGCTGGAAATAAAATTGTTACAAGTGGCATATGAGAATTCAAAAGATTATTTATCATAATTTTAAGTTAAAATTTTTTTTTTATTTTAGTATTGTTAAAATTTTGTTTGAGATTAAAACATTCATTTTTATTATTATTTATTGTTGTATTAAGTAATCTGTACACTGGAACAGTAAAACAATTTCACTGAAGTTATAACCAGAAATTTGATGCCTAATATCAGTAATATATACACACAGGATTTAATGTCGCAATTAAACAAAACAAATCGTTTTTTATAAAAACTTCTTGTTTAATACATAAGATATCCAAAAAAATTTAACAGGGAGTTCAGAAATTAAGTAAACATAGAAACGTTTAGGGCATTAACAATCTTAGGCGTTAAATTTTTGGTTAATAATCTGTCCTGTTTTGTCACATAGTGCAATTTATTTATCCCATTGAAATGGTATACTGCCCTCAGTAATAAAATATGTAGATAGTTTGCTTCTAGTTTGCTCTGCATTTCTTCCATACATATTTGAGGCCACTCTTCCTACATTCAAAAGGTTTGATATCTGATGTTTTCTCCATTCTCCCTTAATTAATCTCCCATTTATATCTTCTCTATCAACAAGGGCATTACTAAAATAATTTCTTTTTGCAGTTTTTGACCTCATAATAAAATTATGTAGGCAAACTGATGCTTTAATTATGGCAAAAACAGTTGGTTGACTGGCTATTATTGGTTTTCTGAATATACGCCATCGAGCTACCAGAATGCCAAAAACATTTTCAATCACTCTACGTGCCCTGCATAATCTGTAGTTAAATATTCTTTTTATTTGAGGTAAAAAACGTCCTGGATATGGACGCATGATAAATGTAGATAATGGGAAAGCTTCATCAGCAGCAATATAATAATTAATATTTCCTTGCTCACCTAATGGTGATGGTTCAGGAAACTTCATGCTTCCTGAAAAAATAGACTTTCCAATATTCGAATTTTTAAACATTCCTCCATCACTATGACGACCTTCACCACCAATTTCAACCAGGGTAAATTGGTAACTTGCATCACACATCGCCAACAAAACAATACTGTGACTACCCTTATAATTGTAATACGTTGAACCCGAATGTGGGGGTGCCTGTATTACTACATGTTTGCCATCAATGGCACCAACACAATGGGGAAATTGCCATTTTTCTTCAAATTCATTTGCAATATGTAACCAGGAATCTGCACTGGGCTTTAACAAAACTTTTCCACTTAAATCATCCCAAATTGCATTGCAAGTTTCCCTAATAATATGACTTATAGCAGTTGGTGAAACACGAAATGCATACGAAATTGACACCATGCTATCTCCACTGGCAAGATACCTTACAGTAAGAGCCAACCTTTCACTCGCAGTTATGGGCTCACGAATATGGTGTAATTTTTGTAATCTTGGCCCAAGTATACCAAGCAACTCATCAAAAGTATCTTTATCCATACGCAGATAGTTATAATGCTTCTCGGGATCTCCCAACCTCATTTCTTGTAATAAATTGAGGTAAGAACCTTGTTCTTTTCTGAGGCTATAAATGCCCCGGACCCAATATTTTTTTGTTTGTCTTTTATTTTTCTCGGTTCTTCTTATTAAATAAAGACATAACAGTAATACATTATTCACATCACGTTTTACAATCATAATTAACACTTTATTAAAAGATTTAAAAATAAACTTAGTGACGGATGAGGTAAAATTATTTTAATTTCTCCGTCAGACGTACAAAGTTAAAACTTGACGGACATATTAAATGTCATAATTTTTGAATTAAAATTGGACCAATAAGGGCTCTCCCGGATGACGGACTGACGGACAAACGGATACATGAAAATTAAGCTTTACCCGCGGCAAAACTTGACAGCTGTTGTCACCAAAAATTGCAATTT